TCCTTCCAAAAGATGCATCTTAGAATAAGACATTTTCAGACACAAGAGTGAGGTGAGATGGTTGAACAAAATTACTTTAAAGAGCAAAGGAGCAATTCTTAGCAACAAAACAGAATGCATGAGACAAAAAGGAAAAATTATTGTGTACATTATACATTCTTCTCATTTCATGTCACACAACTTTAGCTGAAAAATGAACTAGAGCTAGATCCTGCTTCTAAATCAGTGTTGTTGACATTCACATTTTTAGCTGCTAATCAAATGCAATTAAAAAATTAGAAACAAAAAATGTGAACTTTAAGGATATTTCTTTGCCTACCATTTGTAAATAAGTATATATTTTTATTTTTTTTATTAAGGTATTATATGTGTACATATCTTTCCACTGACCCCCCCATTCCCATACATGCCCTCCCCCCAATAAGTATATTTTTAAACGTTTTACTGATACAATATAAATGCCACACAATTCACCCATCAGAAGTGCACGTTCAATGGCTTTGTGTGTTCAGAGTTGGACAGTGACCTGTGAAAGAAAAGAGCCACATGCTAACCTGACAAGATCAGGGGAGGCCTGTGTGGCAGTCTTGCAAACTTAGAGACCTACAATAACCACAAAAGATGGTTTGAAAATTAAATATCTAACTACAAACAGGTTATAGTGGATAGAAAATTAAATATCTAACTATAAACAGGTTATAGTGGATATATTGATCAACTTCGATCCTCTTCACTGAGCCCATTTGCCTTTTTGCCTCTAAGATAACAACATATCTATGAGATGTTTGGGTAACTTGTAACTTCCCTCCCCCACCCCCCTCCCCCAGCCCCTGGTGGGCGCCAGGACAGATGCCTCAAATTCCTTCGTTATCATGTTAATTGTTCCTGCACTCACCTGAGTACAAGTCCATCATTTTACTTTTTATCCAATCCCAGGGGTTTCCCACTGCTTTGCTTTCTCCCGCCTCCTTACTCCATCACCAATGAATTTCATGTAACCCACCTGTGTCCCTCCTCTGATTTCAATGTATAAATAGAAATGTAACCCGCCATTCTTCGGAGCATTATCTCAATCCTTTGAGGTTCTGCTCCCCGGCATATGTCAATAGTTTGACTCAAATAAACTCACAAAAATTCTTCACAGGTTTCAATGTTTTTCCCCATTAACAGACCACACCATCAACTGCAGAAGGTCTCCACTCCTCCGAGAAACATCCCTAACCCTAACCCTAACCCTAACTCGCCCCCACTCCCCCCAACTGGGTGGGGAAAGAAGGCGCTCAGAGACCTGAGCTTCAAAATGTGTGAACTGCTAGGTCAGGCAACCTGCTGATCACCAACCTCAGACAAGGTTATGACCAACCCCAAGAATGTTATGAAAGCAGAATTCTTTTAAATATATTTTTATTGATTTCAGAGAGGAAGGAGGAGGGAGAGATAGACCCATAATGATGTGAAAGAATTATAGATTGGCTGCCTCCTGCATGCTCACCATCGGGGATTGAGCCTGCAACCCCAGGCATGCGCCCTTGACCAGAATCTAACTGGACCCTCTGGTCCACATGCTGATGCTCTATCCACTGAGCCAAACCAGCTAGGGCAAGGCAGAATTCTTTGAAAGGACGACTCTGGACCTGGCAAGGCATGTGTCTGCACGTAGATTAAAAAGCCCACGCTTCTTCTCGCCACGGGTTCCTGGCATCTCTGTGGAGCACATTCTTGCACCCGCGCAGCGTATGCAGTGTGGGATTCCATACATGGATTCAGACTTTCATTCACTTGGATGCTGAACTACACCACAAGAACATGGAACGGAAGCAGGACTGGCTTCCCTCAATAAACTTTGCTTCTGCTAATTGTTTCTGTATGTGAGTCCATTTTTCAGTTCTCAACAAACTCGGACTCAAACATCCCACATTTGGTTTCAGTATACACAGTGTACGGTCCTGGCTTCTTTCATTTACTCACTCACATGGAGTGTTCTCAGTGCCTCACCGCTTTTTATCGCCAAATAATGACTCTCCATTGTAGGGACACACCACCTCTGTTGACCCATTGCATGAGTTGATAGCTCCTGCTTTTAGGCTGTTATGGACAGTAACCTGCATAGAAGTTTCTGTATAGACATTTTTTTTTTTTTTTTCATTTCTCTTGGGTATGTCCCTAAGATTCGCTTTGATTGGAACCCTACACTGAGCACTGTCAGGACTGGCCAGACTCCTTCGCCCAGAGCCTGCATCATTTCACATTCCCACTAGCATGTGAAGTTCCGGTTCCTCTATATCCTTCTTTGATTAAAGCCATCTTAGCAGGTGTAAAGTTGTTTTGATTTGCATTTCCCTGAGGCTAATGATGTTAAACATCTTTTTGTGTGCTTACTAGTCATTTATATTGATAGATCCTCCCTTCCCCCAGCTGGAGGGCAGAGAATGACATAACCTGCACTGCAGCAGGACATTCCTGAGCACCTAACCGGGCACCTTACATGGACTGTACACTGAGCCACCAATCAGCACCTGCCAAATACCCTAAACCCCGATTCCTAAGTCCCTAGGTCCCTAATCATGTGCCTTCTATGAAACCACCAATCAGCTGGTGCCAAGTGCCCTCAACCCCGTCCCTTCCCTTTCCTGCCCTCAAAGGCGCCTTCACCCCTGCACGTGTGCTCTTCCTCCTTGGAAGGCAGCCGGGAGGGTATTCTCCTCCAGTAAAGCCTGTGTGCTGGTCTCTGGCCCCCTGCCTCATATATATCCTCCTTGGAGAAATATCTACTTAAAATTCTGTGCTGGCCAAGACCGATTTGGCTCAATGGATAGAGCGTTGGCTTGGGGACTGAAAGGTCCCGGGTTCGATTCTGGTCAAGGGCATGTACCTTGGTTTCGGGCATATTCCCAGTAGGGGGTGTGCAAGAGGCAGCTGATCGATGACTCTCTCTCATCGATGTTTCTAACTCTCTATCTCTCTCCCTTCCTCTCTGTACAAATTCAATAAAAACATTTTAAAAAAATATGTTAAAATTCTGTGCTGATTTTTTTCAGCTGAGTTCATTGTTTTCGTCATTGAGTTGTAAGAGTTCTACGTATAGCTCTGCTCAGGTTGCTAGTTTGTTGGAGCATCACCCTGTACACCAAAAGTTGCGAGTTCGGTCCCTGGTTGGAAACATATGAAAGGCAGGTGATCTCTCATTCTCTTTCTCTAATCAGTAAATACATATCATTGGGTGAGAATTTTAAAAAGATCTACAAATATACTATCTATAAATTCCTTATCAAATATATGATTTACAAATATCAAATGCAATTTTAATTAAAATGTGTGTATGTTAACTTCTTGTAAATCAAGCACAAATACAAAATAAAAATGATTCTGTCATATGGCAGTGGTGGTGGTGTTGACATAAAAATATATATAGTCCTAACTGGTTTGGCTCAGTGGATAGAGCGGCGGCCTGTGAACTGAAACGTGCCAGGTTCGATTGCAGCAAGGGCATGTACCTTGGCTGTGGGCACATCCCCAGTAGGGAGTGTGCAGGATTGATATTTTTCTCTCTCAACGATGTTTCTAACTCTCTATTCCTTTTCTTTCCTCTCTGTAAAAGATCAATAAAATATATTTTTTAAAAGTAATTTCTAAAATTATATATAGGAAAAAGGGAAAGAAAAAAATTAAGTTGTTTTTATACACATGAAGGGATAAGATATGCTTTTACTTTCTTCTTTAGGCTTTCCCATATTTCCCACATTAAATGCATACTTAATTCCATGGATAATTTAATTACCACCACTCTCCCCTCTAAATCTCTAGCATCCACCCACCAAAAATGAGCACAACAAAATAAAGCTGTTTTAAAATGGTTTACTTACATGCCACCATAATATTAGTGGCACAATCTCAGAAACTATGAGAATTTAACAAATTTCATTTAAAAACATCGCCAACATAGAGGACTCTACTCAGGAGGCTGCTGCCCACCCTGCGTGAGCCACGCAGACTCCCAGGGAGCCAGGGCAGGCCTGCAGGCGGGACGGTAACGGAGGGCAGCTCAGGGTGATACGGGTGGTCCCTCCTTTGGAAAACTGCTGTTTGAACTATGCTGTCATTTTTAGATGGTCTCTTATTCTATAAAATATAACTGTTTTTTAGCTTGAATAATAAAAAAGAAAAGATAAACTTTACTGTCTGACCCTACAAGCTAGCCATCTAACATAAGGGCTGAAACTAATGCCAGGTGTCTGTATGATATGAAATGTTCCCAAGGTTACAGGTATAGATATGTATGCACTCAAGGTTACAAGTTGTCTGTATAGATATGACAGGTGTTTGTTAGATATGATATGTACTCAAGGATACAAACTGTCTGGAAAAATAACTTACACACGGACCTAAAAGATATAAAAAGAGAACGCTCCCTCCTTTGGGGGTTCAGAATGTGACAGAGGTAATTTGCTCTAAACCTGCGCACAATAAACATGACTCCTAACTATTGGCTCACTAGGCGTTTTGTCCAGCTCGCTGATTTGCGATACAAGGTCCCAACGACCTGAAACCACATCTGGAAAAAGGAACTTATAGGGCAAATGTCTTTTGTGGGGACAAAGTAAAGTTTACATTTTTAAGAGGAAAGAAATCAGGAGAAACAGTATTATTTTCGTGTTACTGTGAGCCTCCTCCGGTCTACAGCAGGGTGCTTCTGAAGTCAACGTTTCCTTTGCAAAACTTAATGGGCATCAACGATTTAAAACATGATGATGAATTGCTTCTGCTAATTCTCTATAGTTCTCCAGGTAATTTCCCACAGTAAACACTTCACTGCATTTTAAAACACCACCGTATTAAAGGTTTCTGCCTACTCATCGCACGTCAGCACCTTCATTTATAACTTGAAGCAAGTTGACACATTTTTTTTTTTCTCGACACTCTTTTCCCCCAAATATTTTTAGACAGATGCCAATCCTTGCTTTTTCCTTTTGTTCGAAAGCTACTAGGTACCCGCTACACACCTGTCTGAGGTAGAGAAAAAAACTTGAGTACTGCCCCGCTTCAGGAAGGTAAGAAAGAAACACAGTGATGCAGATGAGCAGCACGGTAGGATCTTTTCCAACTTTCTTCAGGGGCTAAGAAAAAGCAGAAAGATGAAAGAAGAAATAGTCAGATGGGTCCGAAATTCATTGGACAATCATTTAGTAAGTTCTATAATGTCTAACCACTGGATGCACACCGAAAACTAATATAATATTAGATGACAACTGTAATTGAAAAATAAAAAGCAGCCAACAGAGACTGACGTCAGATATTCTTCCACACTGGCGTCAATGTTTTCATCTATTGAGGTACAGTAACAACTGTTGATTGGACTATAAAAGGAAGTGAATCTTCACATGATATCGATCACCATCTCTCTATGGAGGTTACAAGTCCTCATTTCTGATATATGTGTTTCAAATATTACAGCATAAATACACACAGACACACACGTTTGCTCCTGTTTACTTAACAACATTGCTTCACAACCTGAAACAGACCCTGAACATCCTAGAAACACCCTGTAAACATGTTACTCCAGAAATTTTTAAGAAAAATCTGCCCTAACCGGTTTGGCTCAGTGGATAGAGCGTCAGCCTGTGGACTGAAGGGTCCCAGGTTCGATTCCGGTTAAGGGCATTTACCTTAGTTGTGGGCACATCCCCTATAGGGAGTGTGCAGGAGGCAGCTGATTGCTGTTTCTCCCTCATTGATGTTTCTAACTCTCTATCCTTCTCCCTTCCTCTCTGTAAAAGATCAATAAAATATATTAAAAAAAGAAAAAAAGAAAAAAAAAGAAAAATCTGATCTCTCTTTTTCATTCACAACATAACTTATTTAAAGCCATAAACAGTATAGGCATTTCGTTACATATAAATTCACTCTTTAAAATGTTAGCATTCAATTCTTTAAAATGTTAGCATTCAATTTGCCTGTAAATTGATCAACAAGGTAGTGGTGGGAGGCCTGCCTGCGTCCGGTGTGCCTGGTCTCCTTTCCCCACATGGCACACACGGATGGGCGCACCGCCACAGGCAGGTCCCAGGCCAAGCCCCAAGGAAGGTTTTTGGAAAAGAATTTCTCATGAGTTATTTTCTTATTACATATATTTTCCTAAAGGGTAGACTGGGAGGATAAAAAACAAGTATCAACTCCCTGGTTAGTTTTTTTTTCTGTACATATTTTCTTCAAGAACAGTTTCAAATCAAGAGGGGGAACTAAAGTTCTTCTTCTGAGTACTTTTTTGAGTTTTTAATGGAATTCTCCGATGCAAAAAAAAAAAAAATATATATATATATATATATATGTGTGTGTGTGTGTGTGTGTGTGTGTGTGTATATATATATATATATATTTTTTTTTTTTTTTAAAGAAAGAAAACCAAGAATCTAATCTATAAAATACAAGTTCAAAGCCTCTGGTCTAAATGGATGTATTTCTACAACTTAGAAAATAACTACTTTAGTCAGATCTCATATTTTTGTCCTTTTTTAATTTAGCAAGTGAAAACAACTACTTTAAATGGCCACCTTCATTTCTTTGTTAAAAAATGAATATAAAACACCATGCAAAACCAAAAAAAATTTTTTCCCTCATAGGAATTAAACTAGACATTTTTTTCTCTTTCGTTGTGATAATCGCACGCATGACTTAAAAAATACCAACTCTATATATTCCTTGATGTACACTCTACCTCAGTCCCTTCCTTGCCATTAATTTTTTTTCTCTTACTGGAGGCAGAAATGGATTAACAATCGCGGGGATGCTTCAGTTTGCAGAAATATTCTCTTATTTGCATGGCTTAGAAAGATACTTAGAAAAATAATGTTTTCAGCTTTTTATTTACCGCAAAAGGATCTGCTTGTTTCCAAGAAACCTGAGCTCCCCAGGAGAGTGGTCTCATTTTCTCTGGCAAGGATTCTGGAACAGCCAATAGGATGAAGCAGATGTCCAGAAGAGCAACCACCGTGGCCACCAGCACAACGAGGCCGTCTCCGTAGCTCGCTGAGAGGTACGCTCCAATGGCTGGGCTGCTGACCAGACTGGCTGCAAAGGTGGCTGAGACCTGCGGAAAAGGCACTCTCCCAGCGTCCCACCTGCAGCAGGTGCACACCTACAGCCATCCTCCCTCGGTTTTATTTATTTATTTTTTAAAATATATTTTATTGATTTTGTACAGAGAGGAACAGAGAAAGATAGAGAGCTAGAAACATCAATGAGAGAGAGAGTCATCGACCAACTGCCTCTTGCACACCCCCTACTGGGGATATGCCCGCAACCAAGGTGCATGCCCTTGACTGGAATCGAACCCGGGACCTTTCAGTCCCCAAGCCGACGCTCTATCCATTGAGCCAAACCAGTCTTGGCATCCCTCGGTTTTAAACAAGACAAAGGAATGTGCTGCACACAAATTTTAAGAAACAACGAGAATTAAGGTCATTTTGTTTTAAGAATTTTTTCATCCACTACTAACTAATTGGAGATATTGTGTAAAGCTATAAGAGCAAAAAACAAAAGTAATTAAAAATAAAAATTGTGGCCCTGGCCAGTGTGACTCAGTGGGCCACAGCATCATTCCGTACAAAGAAAGGTTGTGAAGTTGATCCAGGGTTGGGGTACATACAAGGCAATGATGAATGTTTCTCTCCCACAGTGATGTCTCCCCCCCACTTCCCTCTCTCTAAAATCAATGAAAAAAATATCCTCTGGTGAGGATGGAAAAAAATAAAGATTGTGCAAATCTTCCTTATAAAGAAAACACACATGTTTTTGTCTTATTTAATTGAGAAATAGAGCTGTGGGAAGAAAGTTTTTTAAAAAAATGCCCACTGGCATACGATAAAAACTACCCAGGGACTGTACTTGATTTTATCTCTCAGAAATATGCACTATTTGAGCTTCCGGTCAAGATGGCTGAGTAGGAAAACGCAGTCCTTGCCTTCTCCCACAACCAAACAAAAATTACAACTAAATTACAAAGCAATCATCATTAAGGACCTCCTAGAGATCAGAGGGGCGGAGACCCAGAATGGGCTGGCCCCACACCCATATGTGGAGTTAAATCAGGACCGAGCCTCAGCTGCGGAGGCCCCCAGCTCAGGGTACCAGTGCCAGGCCTTACGTAACTGGAGTCTTGTGGGGCTCAGCAGAGGGATCTTCCTGATCACTTCAGCTAGGTGTTCCAGAAAAGTCTCTCGGGTGGGTTATGTGAGCCCTCCTGTTGTAGTGGCGTCATGACTGCTGTCAGCCCATCTGTGAGTGGACTAACACCCAGGCAGGCTGACTATAAGGACCAAACCTGACCACAGTGTGTAAGTCACTGGTGGGACCTCCCTCTTGAATTAGAGTTGGCCCCAGAAGGAAATAGGGACTGCTGAGATCTCTCTGTGAATGTGCCACTTGTGTGGTTGGTCTCTGGTTTGGTCTGAAGCCCACCTGTGGTTGTGCTGGTTCTGAGTCCATTTTGGGAGGAACTCTGGTGCAGGTGACTGTCGGAGGCTGCCTGCACCTGGCTTTGGACTACCTGTGTGGAGCTGCCATGTAATCCAGTTAGTGACTGCCTCCGCTGCGTCTGGGTGTGTGCAGGAATAGACAAGCTGTGTACCAAGGTCGGCTTCGGAAACTCCAAGCCTGGGGCCAATCAATAAAAGGCCTGAGGTACTCGGAGATCAGCCTCCTGGCAGCTGCTCCACCACCCCAAGGTTGCCTGGACTTCTTCCAGAGTCGTTTGAATGAAGTCCGCAGTGTGGGCCCAAGCTGGTGGTAGCCCACAAGGTGTGAGCTCAGCAGGGCATGGCCACCAGGGACCGAACAGGGCTGGTGGGTCTCCTGTTTGGGGGTGGTACAGGACAGGCGCTCAGCGGGGAAAGTGGTCCCTACCCCAGAACCACAGCACTCAGTCACTGCATGAGTCTCTAGCAGAGGATCCTTAAAAAAGAGTCACTGCAGGCCCAGACTGGGTGCAAGAAACAGACTTTTCTGAAGGACATAAGCTTGGCAGGGCAAGGCCACAGAGCTTGGGAGGCTGGGTCTAGGGGTCTCCTGGTGATGGATAGCACCAGTGGTGCACAGTGGGCGGAAATACCCTCTGCCTCCACATAACCCAGTGCCTGTCTCAGTTGCCAACAGGAGATCTTCAAGAGAAACCAAGATGGCGGCAAAGGTAAACACTAGACTGCTGCCTCACACAACAATTTAAAAACTGCAACTGGAAGACAGAGCGGACATCGTCCAGAACCACTGGAAAGCTGGCTGAGTGGAAAATCTACAACTAGAAGGAAAGAGAAAAGGACACTGAGACTCAGAGGAGCTATGGAGGGGTGGGCAGCTGAATACTCGGCTGGCTTACTCGCTGCGCATGGAGAGGGCAGGCAGCAAATGCAAGGGTAGCTTTCTCGTCGGGAGGAAAACAAAACCTTCCGACTGCACTGAAATCCAGCTCTGGGTGAGACTTTGGGTATCAGACTCATTCAGGGAGAAATTGGACTATCTGGCAGTGGGCAAAACTTGAGAGCAGCCTTCGCTCAGCAGCATTGCCGCAGGACACTAAGAACAGGGCCCTTTTAGGGTAGGGCTGATGGGAAACCAAAGCTTGTCTGAACCACCCTGAGACTCCGCCCCATCCAAGCTGCCCTCCCAGTGGAAACACTGCAGGTCCTCACAGCTAATGGCCTGGAGGTCAACTCCCCCCAGTGATACCAACTACAATCAAGGCTTAACTACAAGACTGCACACACAGCCCACTAAGGGGTGCACCAAGAGTGTCCACCTCAGGTAACTGGGGAGGCCAAGCCCCTGGGCCCTACTAGGACACCAAGCACACAAAGCCACTCCACCAACTCAGGGAAGAAGCTAAAATGCGGTGACAAAGAGGCAGGCCACAAATGAAGGAAATGGAGGAAAGCAAACCACTGGATATAAAGTTCAAAACCACGGTTATAAGATTTTTCAAGAATTTCCTAAAAAAAGCTGATAAATTTAATGAGACCCTCGAGGATATGAAAAAGGACCAACTAGAAATGAAGCATACACTGAATGAAATAAAAAATAGAATCCAAAAAGTTGAAGATAGTTTAAGAAGCCTCTGGGACAACTTCAAGCGTACCAACATCATAATTATGGAGGTCCCAGAAAAAACTATTTGAAGAAATAATGACTGAAAACTTCCCCACCCGGTGAAAGAAATAGACTTACAAGTCCAGGAAGTGCAGAGCACCCCAAATAAAAGGAATCCAAAGAGGACCACACCAAGACACATCATAATTAAAATGCCAAGAGCGCCAAAGCTGGTTTGGCTTTTCCGGCGTATAAGACGACCCTTGAAACGAAAAAAAGTCAACCGAAAATCGGGGGCAAAAGACCAAAATTGCACAAAAATTACCTGCAGATCTTGATGGCAAAGTAATTCTTTTCTTTGAAGTAGGGGGTAGTCTTATACAGCGAATATAGGCCTAAACCTATGTTTTAACTGTAAAATTAGGGGGTCGTCTTATACGCCGGAAAATACGATAGTGGATAGAGCATCGGTCTGCGGACTGAAGGGTCCCGGGTTCAATTCCGGTCAAGGGCATGTATATTGGTTGAGAGCACATCCCTGACAGGGGGTGTGCAGGAGGCAGCTGGTCGATGTTTCTCTCTCATCGATGTTTGGAGCTCTCTATCCCTCTTCCTTCCTCTCTGTGGAAAATCAATAAAATAAAATAAAAATGCCAAGAGCAAAAGACAAAGAGAGAATATTAAAAGCAGTAAGAGAAAAACAGTTAATTACCTACAAGGGAGCACCCATATGACTGTCAGCTGATTTCTTAACAGAAACTATTCAGGCCAGAAGGGAGTAGCAAGAAATATTCAAAATGATGAACAACAAAAACCTACAACAAAGAGTACTCTACCCAACAAAGCTATCATTTAGAATTGAAGGTCAGATAAAGAGCTACACATATAAGTCAAAGCTAAAGGAGTTCATCACCACCAAACCAGAATTATATAAAATGCTAAAAGGTATTCTTTAAGAAGAGGAAAAAGAAAAAGATAAAAATTATGAACAAGATATACATATCTATCAATAAGTGAACTTAAAAACCAAGTGAATAAAAAAATCTGATGAACAGAACAAACTGGTGAATATAATAGAATCAGGGGCATGGAAAGGGAGTGAATTGACGATTCTTGGGGGAAAAGGGATTGGGAGTGGGGGGAAGAGACTGAACAAAAAGCATACACCTATGGATGAGGACAGTGGGGGAAAGTAAGGGCAGAGGGAGGGGTATTATCTGGTGGAGGGGAGCTAGGGGGGGACAAAAGAGGAACAATTGTAATAATCTGAACAATAAAGATTAAATTAAAAAAAGAGATCCTCAAGAAAAATAAAAAGCACACCACTGCTCCAGGTGGATCCAGCCAACAGTCTTTTCTGCAGGGCATTAATTAGCTCAGCAGGGAGCATCCACTAGGAGTCAAAGAACAAGGCTATACGTCTCCTACAGGGGGATGGCACCAGTGGCATGCAGGGAGGTGGGAGGTAAATGGCCACCACTCCAAAGCCACATAATCAGTGTCTGGCCTAGTCTTCAACTAGTTTTCCAAGAAAAAGGACACCACAGGTGCAGGCAAGTTGCAGCCAGCAGACTTTTGTGCAGGATGCAAGCTCAGCAGGGTGGAGACACTGTGAGTCAGAATGAGGAGACTTGTGGGTCTCCTTTAGGGAGATGGGCACCAGGGGCCATAGGGAGGGAAAAATGACTCCTGTTCTGGAGCCACAGCACTCAGTGTCTCTGTCTCTACCAAAATCTCAAGAAACAAAAATCGCACCAAAGGTCCCACTGGGTAGTCATCCAATGTGAGGTCAGCACAGTGCGGCCACTGGGAATTGGAGGGACAGGTTTGGGGTCTCCTAGTGGCTGACAGCACCAGTAGTGGGCAGGGTGGAAACATGGCCCACCATTCCAGAGTCACATAGTTCACCAACTGCCCTAGTCTCCAGCAACTACTGTGGTTGCCTGAATATTACCGGTAATTATTCCACAGGCAGAATGCACTGTGCCCAAGCTGCAACAGCCCTTTCTGCAGGTCATGAGCTCTGCCAGGTGTGGGTGCCAAGAGCTGGAGGACTGGGTCAGTCCACTCCCCCAGGCTGGTGCTATGAGGACAGAAATGCTTGACCCAGGGATGATGGCACCTGTGGGCCTCCAGATGAAGCAGGTGACCAAATAAGCAATTTGAAGACATGGTGGCAGAAAATATCCAATCATAGCAGCAACAAGAAAAAAAAATTAAAGTAAAAATAGTTTAAGGGACCTCTGGGACAATAGGAAGTGTAACAACAACCCTTACAATAGCCAAGATGTGGAAGCAAACCAAATGCCTATCAATTGATGAGTGGATAAAAAAAGTTGTGGTATAGCCCTGCTGGTATAGCTCAGTGGATAGAGCATCAGCCTGAGACTAAAGGAACTTGGGTTCGATTCCAGTCAAGGGCACATGCCTGGGTTGTAGGTTCGATTCCCAGTAGGGGGCGTGCAGGAGGCAGCCAATTGATGATTCTCTCTCATCACTGCCAATTGGCCTGGAGGTCAGTTCCCCCCAGTGATACCAACAACAATCAAGACTTAACTACAACAAGGCTGTACACACAGTCCACAAAGGGGTGCACCAAGAGTGTCCACCTCAGGTAACTGGGGAGGTCGAGCCACTGACCCATATAGGTCACCTAGCACACAAAGCTACCCTACCAACTCAGGGAAGCAGCGAAAATACAGAGACAAAGAAACAGATCAAACGAAAGAAATGGAGGAAAATAAACGGCTAGAGATAGAGTTCAAAACCACGGTTATAAGGTTTTTCAATAATTTCCTAGAAAAGGCCAATAACTTTAGTGAGACCCTCAAGGATATGAGAGAGACTCTCGAGGATATGAAAAAGGACCAAATAGAAATTAAACATACACTGACTAAAATAATAAATATTATACAGAGACCCAACAGCAAACCAGAGGAACGCAAGAATCAAGTCAAAGATTTGGAATACAAAGAGGCAAAGGATACTCCTCCGGAGAAGCAAGAAGAGAGGAGAATCCAGCAAGTTAAAGATAGTGAAAGGAGCCTCTGAGAGAACTTCAAGCGTATCAACATCAGAATTATGGGGGAGCCAGAAGAAGAGAGAGAGCAAGATACTGAAAACCTATTTAAAGAAATAATGACTGAAAATTTTCCCCACCTGGTGAAAGAAACAAACTTACAAGTCCAGGAAGTGCAGAGGACCCCAAACAAAAAAAATCCAAAGAGGACCACAACAAGGCACATAATAATTAAAATACCAAGAGCAAAAGACAAAGAGAGAATATTAAAAGCAGCAAGAGAAGGGAGCACCTATACAATTATCAGCTGATTTCTCAACAGAAACTATTCAGGCCAGAAGGGAGTGGCAAGAAATAGTCAAAGTGATGAATAGCAAGAACCTACAACCAAGATTACTCTCTCTAGCCAAGCTGACATTCAGAATTGAAGGTTAGTTAAAAAGCTTCACAGATGAGAAAAAGTTAAAGGAGTTCATCGCCACCAAACCAGTATTATATGAAATGCTGAAACGTATTCTTTAAGAAGAGGAAAAAGAAAAAGATAAAGATAAAAATTATGAACAAGAAATACATATTAACAAGTGAATCTAAAAATCAAGTGAATTAAAAATCTGATGAACAGCCAAAACCGGTTTGGCTCAGTGGATAGAGCATCGGCCTGCGGACTGAAAGGTCCCAGGTTCGATTCTGGTCAAGGGCATGTACCTTAGTTGCAGGCACATCCCCAGTAGGGGGTGTGCAAGAGGCAGCTGATCGATGATTCTCTCTCATCGATGTTTCTAACTCTCTATCCCTCTCTCTTCCTCTCTGTAAAAAAATCAATAAAATATATTTTTTTAAAAATCTGATGAACAGAATAAACTGGTGAATATAATAGAATCAGGGGCATAGAATGGGAGTGGACTGACAACTCTCAGGGGGAAAGGGGTGTGGGGTGCAGGAAGAGACTGGATAAAAATCATACACCTATGGATGAGGACAGTGATGGGGGGAGGTAAGAGAAGAGGATAGGATGGGAACCAGGTGGAGGGGAGCTATTGGGGAGGGGGAAGGAAAGAGGAACAAATGTAATAATCTGAACAATAAAGATTTATTAAGTTAAAAAATTTTAATTATTAAGTCAGTCAAAGTACCAGAAGGTTTAAGATGGAACAATTCTCCCTCTCCAACAACACCCACACATGCCAAGGGGAGTGCACACCGAACACATGCTCACACGCCCTCTTTCCCCTGGAACCAGGGGAGCAGCTCTCAGAGGTGGGATACTCTGGCATCAACGGATTCAGCCTGTCATCTACAATCTTTCTTCGCTACACAACCACAATGCCATTCTCAGGCCAGGAAAATTAGAAATGATTGTCCAATATTCAAATATCCAGAAAGAAAAAGTCTCTTACAACTTTTGCAATGCAATCAAACATTATTTGCTGAATGAATGTGTGATCCTTTTCTGCAATATTAGATTAAAAAAAAATGTCTGAGCCACACACCAAATAATATAGTTGGATTAACATGGCTGAGGTTTTAACACCTCTCCAATTCAAAACAGGTGCACAAGGATTTGTAACTTGCCTATTTATGACCTGTCAAGGAATAAGCTAACAAGAAACAAGTCAACTTTTAAAAAACTTTACAACTGATAATCCATACATTCCAACCTTAAAACAAGAGAATAGAATAGCAAATTCTAGCTTGCTATTTTTAACATTTTTTAAAAATGAAGGGAGAGGGAGAGAGAGAGAGAAACATCAGTGATTGGCTGCCTCTTGTACACCCCCAAATGGGATCCAGCCCACAACCCAGGCATGTGCCCTGACCGGGAATCGAACCATGACCTGCTGGTTTATGGGTCAATGCTCAACCACTGAGCCACAATGATCAGGCTATTTTTAAATCTCTTTATAAATTTCAATTCTTTAAATTTTCCTTTATATGTCAATATTTACTACATATTTTAAATCTCACTTTTCAGTGACCTTTCAACAGAATGTTAATTTTTTCTCTGTTAAAAAAAAACAAACTGCCAAAACCGGTTTGGCTCAGTGGATAGAGCGTCGGCCGGGGGACTGAAAGGTCCCAGGTTTGATTCCGGTCAAGGGCATGTACTTTGGTTGCAGGCACATCCTCAGTAGGGGGCGTGCAAGAGGCAGCTGATCAATGACTCTCTCTCATCGATGTTTCTAACTCTCTACTCTGTATCTCTCTCCCTTCCTCTCTGTAAAAAATCAATAAAATATATATATTTTAAAATAAATAAAATTAAAAAAAACCAAACTATTATCTTACCCATCCATAAGCAGTACTTCGCTCATGCTCCTGAGTGACATCAGCTACATAGGCAAATATCACAGAGAATGTGACTGAGAAGACTCCAGACACAGAAATCATTGCAAAATACCACCTATAAAAAGATATTTCAGTTACCCAGGAGAAAGGTAGTGTATGTACATTTTCATAACCACAAAGACATGTAGATTATAAACAAAAAAATAAATTTTATTTATATGCATATATAAGGACAACAAAACTATAACCGCATGGTGGGAAAGAAATAGAAACATACTAATTCTGTCACTGCTCAAACGAAGTAAGTACATGAAGTTTAAATACAGTTAGCCCGGCCAGTGTGGCTCAGTGGTTGAGCATCCACCCATGAACCAGGAAGTCAGGGTTCGATTCCAGACAAGGCACTTTTCCAAGTTGTAGGCTCAATCCCTAGTATGGGGCGTGCTGATCAATGACTCTCATCATTTATGTTTCTATCTCTTTTTCACTCTCCCTTCCTCTCTGAAATCAATTAAAATAAATTTTTAAAAAACTAAGTAAAGTTATAGTTTTAAAGGAAGCTAAAATAAGAGAAACATAAACTATCTAAATTCCCTAGATCTAGTTAAACATAAGGTTTATTCCAGATATAATAATGTTTCAATATTAGAAAATATATGAATACTAGAGGCCTGGTGCATGAAATTCATGCACAGGGGTGGGGGGATGTCCCTCAGCCCAGCCTGCACCCTCTCCAATCTGGGACCCCTCGAGGGATGTACAACTGCCCGTTTAGGCCAGTAGGATTGGGCCTAAATGGACAGTCAGACATCCCTCTCACAATCCAGGACTGCTGGTTCCCAAATGCTCACCTGCCTGCCTTTCTAATTGCCCCTAACTGCTTCTGCCTGCCAGCCTGATCAACCCCTAACCACTCCCCTGCCAGCCTGAATGATGCTTAACTGCTCCCCTGCCAGCCTGATCACCCCCCAACTGCTCCCCTGCCAGCCCAATTGCCCTTAACTGCCCTCCCCTGCTGGCCTGGTCCCCCCAATGCCCTCCCTTGCAGGCCTGGTTCCTCCCAACTGACCTCCCCTGCAAGCCATCCTGTGGCAGCCTTCTTATGTTCACATGGGGGCAGCCACCTTGTGTGTTGGAGTAACTGTCAATTTGCATAATATTCTTTTATTAGGTAGAATAGAGGCCTGGTGCATGGGTGTGGGTCAACTAGTTTGCACTGAAGGGTGTCCCAGATCAGGGTGGGTGTTCCCTTGGGGTGTGGGGCCTGTGGTGGTTTGCAGGTCTTATTTATCTTCTATAATTAAAACTTTGTAGCCTTGAGTGGAGGCCAGGGCAGGCCAGGGCAGGCAGGAAGCTTGGCTTCCTCCATCGCTGGAGGCAACCCAAGCCTCCTGCTCATTCCAGCTCCATGGCAGCCACCATCTTAGTTGGGTTAATTTGCATACTCTCTCTGACTGGCTGGTGGTCATAGCAAAGTGATGGTCAATTTGCATATTTCTCTGTTATTAGTGTAGATAATTCATTATGGTAACAGATTCCAGGAGAAAAATGAAATGATCTCCACTGATGCAAAAAATGCATCTAAAAAAATTTGGCACCCAATCTTGATTTTAAGAAAGAAAATCTCTGCATAAAATAAAAATTAGTATTTTTCAATCTAAAAGCTAACTTATAAAAGCTAGCTTAACACTTCATGATAAAACTTTACAATGTTTTCTTTATGAGGGAGGTAAGTTTATAATCATCACTTCTATTTATCATTATTCACACAATTAGCAAAAGCAATATCAAGAAAACTAGAAGAGGTAAAATCATTTAAAGGCCTATAAAACATTTTTAATGTATTCAAAGAACATTAAAAAAGCTATAAATCACTGGAAAAGTAGTACATTCTTTGAATGAAAGGCTTAATACCAAGAAGTAGCTTCTTTAAATTCTTCATCTGGTAGGAAATAAAATGCTCCAGTATGGTTATAAATTTAGAACATGATGATAATCTATACTAATAAAAGGGTAAGATGCTAACTAGACTGGGAGACCTTCTGGACATCCTTCCAGACAAAACCATGATGGCGGGGCCAAGGCAGAGACAGTTAGGGGTGATCAGGCTAGGAGGGGAGGTTAGTTGGGGGCGATCAGACCAGTGGTGGGGGAGGCAGTTGGGGGCAAGTAGGCCAGTTGTGGGGAGCAGTTGGGGATGAGCAGGTTGGTGGTGGGGGGCAGTTGGGGGTGAAAAGGCCAACAGGGGGACCCAGGCTTGCAAGGGAGAGAAGTTGGGGGGAGACCAGCCCTGCAGAGGAGGGCAGTTGGGGGGAGGAATCAGGCCTGTTGGGAAGGGCAGTTAGGGGCAATTAGGCTAGCAGGCAGAAGTGGTTAGGGGCAATCAAGAAGGAAGGCAGGTGAGCAGTTGGGAGAGGGATGTCTGACTGACATTAGGCCTTACTGGGATTGGGCCTAAACAGGCAGTCGAACATCCCTCGAGAACCAAATTTTTTAAACTTAAACTTCTAATACCACTTGTTCAAAATAGACTCGCCCAGGCTGTGGTATTTTATGGAAGAGCCACACTCAAGGGACCAAGAGCCGCATGTGGCTTGCGAGCCAAAATTTGCCAACCACAGCCCTAGACCAATGAGCTGACTAAAACAATTACATTCCCAAAGGAAACTGAGCCTCGGGAGCAAGTGGGACCCCCAGAGCCCCTTTCCCCCAAGACCCAAATCCTGTAACTGACCTCATGACGACTACAGCTTTTATTCTCATTCTTTACCTCGGTGTCAATTATGTAATCTCTTCATCTCCCAATTATAATACGGGCAAGATAGCAATGCCCAAACTGGCTTTCAGTATTAGCAAAGAGATCGAATAAAAACCAGATACAACCACTTTAAATTGTTACAAAGGACTCACAGATGTATTATTCATACGTGACACAAGACAATGGGGATGACACCAGGCTGAGCACTCACCACGGGCTGACGGTCATCAGGGGGATGGGGAAGCAGGTGAAGAAGACGGTGCCCAGGAGGAAGGGCTTCCTCCCCCACACGTCGGACAGGGCGCCGATGAGCGGGGCGCTCAGGAAGGAGAGCAGGCCCTGGAGAAGAAAGCAGAGGCAAAGTCAGAGTTACGATACAACCCCCCAATTATAGCACTGGTAATTCTCATCTTCTAAATGAATTTTAAATGCTGCCATTCCTTCCTTGGCCCCCAAACAGAATAACTTGAAATATTAAATATAAACGATCGTTTTTAAGAATTCTAACAAAATTTCTAAATCTGCTGGAAAAGAAAGAGAGGGGTAAGGGCTTGTTTTCTGGGACAAGTTGAAAAGGTGATATGAAATATATTTATACCCACAGTTGGTCTTAAGATGAGCATTAATAAATTCATTTAAATAAATATGCACAGCATATCTATTATGTACAAAGCTGTGAATTAACTGATGTTATTATATAAAGACACCCAAACAAATACACACCTGCTACTCTCAAACTGCTTGTAAGCGAATAGAGATAAACAGAAAAATTTCATAAGAAAAGCAAAGACCTATGTTCCCGATTGAGAGTTGCCCAGATGACAGCAAAGTGGGAGAGGAAAACTGAAGGCTACGCAAGGGACTGAGGTGCCAGCATGGAGTCATCTGAAGAAATTAAAGACTGAAGTGGAAGCTACTTCTTCAATCATGTTCCTGCTCATGCTAGCATCTGTAAGCTTCCAGTCTTCTGCAAAGTCATGTGCAGCAAATCCAAGGACTCTGAGTAAATCTACACCAGCAACAAAAGAGACTCATTTAGTAGCTAAAAATAATAATATGTCCAAAAACAAAAATTAAAAAAAGACCTATGTTCCTGTTGAAGTTAGGAAGAAGATAATGCAACTTGACAACAGGATTGAGGCTAAGGAGAAGCAAGAAACAGGAACACCAGACATAAGCACAGGAAGTACAGAAACTCACACTAATTACTTGGCAGTCACCATTAGCTGGTACTTTCATAATAATTTCCTTTTTGACTCAGGGTCCTCTGAGGTGGCCACAGGTCTGACCCGCAGACCCTGCTGGTGGCACAGTGCTCACTTCACATGCCAACCAACCAACCAAAAACAACAAAACAAAACACCCAATGCTAAAATTGGAGAATTCACAGAATGATTGTTACTCTTGTGTCCTTTCTTGATGCTTATCTAAAATCTAAACCTTCTCTTCTATGCATTGTAATAATGAACTTACAAAGTAAAAGTTAACTGAAAAAAATCTACCAAGATGAACACAAGATGTAATAAAGGAAACTAAAAATCATCCATGAATTCATACACTTGCAAACTTCAGGTGCTTCCTTTTTAATTCCTAACATTCCCAACAACCTGTTACATACATGTATTTTGGGATTGAGAAAAATTAAAGCCATCTATAATAATAAAAGAATAATATACTAATTAGACTGGACAGCCAAACAGCAGAACTACTGTCCAGACGACCTTCTAGATGAAGTCAGAGCTTGAGGGCTGAGCTCCTCGCACAAATTTCATGCATCGGGCCTCCAGTTCTATATAATAAAAGGCTAATATGTAAATCAACCGAATGGCAGAATGACAGGTTGCTATTACGTGCACTGATCACTAGGGGGTAGACGCTCCATGCATAAACTGGCGCCTGGTAGTCAGTGCGATCCCACAGGGAGCCAGAAGCTGGGCTCATGGCTGGCGAGCAGAGCGGTGGTGGCAGGAACCTCTCCCACCTCCACGGCAGCACTGAGGATGTCTGACTGCCGGCTCCCACAGGAAGTGGGCCTGAGCCGGCAGTTGGACATCCCCTGAAGGCTCTCAGACTGCAAGAGGGCGCAGGGTGGGCTAAGGACCTGCTCCCTCCAGAGTGCACAAATCTCTGCACTGGGCCACTAGGATTGTATAGTTTTCTATTCTTTTCTGTTGCACTTACATGATGTTCTTAAAAATGTGTTTCTTTTTTTCCTGTTTTTAATCTTCACCTGAGTGCATTTTTCCATTGGTTTTTAGAGAGTGGAAGGGAAAGGGAGAGATGGAGAAAACATGGCAAACCAAGGTTTGTACCCTTGACTGGAATTGAACCCAGGACCCTTCAGTCTGCAGGTGGCTACTCTATGCACTGAGCCAAACTGACCAGGGTCAAAATGTGTTCTTTATATCATATAGAGGCCCGATGCACAAAGATTCATGCAAGAATGGGGCTTCCTTCCCTTGGCGCTGACACCACCTTCACTTCGGCCGAAGCCTTGCTTCTGCTCTGGCCCGGAGCCCACCTTTCCACCTTCCCATGCTGCCCAGAGGCCTGGAGTGGCTGTGTTGTTGTGGAATGTGTACATCAGCAATGATGCAAGCATCCCACCCCACCTGGCCACTAGGTGCCTACCTATGCAAATTAACCCACCATATTTGTTGGGTTAATTTTCATACTCACTCCCGATAGGCTGGTGGGTGTCGCAAAGGTACGGTCTATTAGCATGTTACTTTTTAAAATATATATATTTTATTGATTTTTTACAGAGAGGAAGAGAGAGGGATAGAGAGTTAGAAACATCGATGAGAATCATTGATTAGCTGCCTCTTGCACACTGCAAACCCTCTACTGGGGATGTGCCCGCAACCAAGGTACATGCCCTTGACCAGAATAAAACCTGGGACCCTTTCAGTCCGCAGTCCAATACTCTATCCACTGAGCCAAACCAGTTTCGGCTAGCATGTTACTCTTTTATTAGTTTGGATAGCTGTCCCACAACATATTCTTTTAATTTTATTTCCATGTTTACTATAACAAACAACCCTGTATTGGAATCTCTCAATAAATCTATTTGACTAGAACAATTTTTTAGAAATAAAAACTACTTTTCTAGTAATTACTTTATTAAAATACTAGAGGCCCGGTGCACAAAATTTGTGCACAGGGGGGTGTGTACCTCAGCTCAGCTTGCACCCTTTCCAATCTGGGACCCCTGTCACAATCCAGGACTGCTGGCTTCCAACTGCTTGCCTGCTTGCTTTCCTCATTGCTCCTAACTGTGGGGAGTTGCCCTGAATGCAGGGGTCCTATATGCCTGAATACAGGCATGGGTGTAGGACACAGCTCTCCATGTGCCCCCCTTTTCCATGAACCTCAGTGGAAAATTACTACTCCCCCTAGGAATGCTGCTAACTGCAGATGTCTTTGCTTTAGGGTAAAACAATTGATAGGAGCCTGCTGACACAGAAGGAGCTGTAAAAGGAGTTGTAAAAGGTCAGGTGGTTGTAAAAGGTCCGGTGCTGAAGGAACTTATCTGTACAGGAACTCATCATGTTAGCAGAAACGGCCATGATTGTCTGAAATAAATATTTCCTCCTTCAGAATTGTATTTAAAGGTTGGAAAAATAAAATTCGGGACTGCAGACTTCAGTCTCAGTCCTCCCAACCCCATCTTTTCTTGTCTTTCTTTTTTCTCATCTTCATCCCTCAATCAGGTACTGTTCGTTGCCGGCAGGTTCTGGCACCTAACCACTTCTGCCTGCCAGCCTGATTGATGCCTAACTGCTCCCCTGTCAGCCTGATTGCCCCTAACTGCCCTCCCATGCAGGCCCAGTCACCCCCAACTTCCCTCCTCTGCTAGCCTGGTCCCTCCCAACTGCCCTTCCCTACTGGCCATCTTGTGTCCATGTGGGGACAGCCATCTTCAACCACATAGAGGCAGCCATCTTGTGTGTTGGAGTGATAGTTTATTTGCATATTACTCTTTTATTAGATAGGATATATAAACTAATGTCCTGGTGCATGAAATGAATGCATGGTGGTGGTGTTGGGGGGTGCTCCTCAGGCCAGCCTGCACCCTCTCCAATCTGGGACCCCTTGGAGGATGTCCGACACCCTGAAGACATCCCTCTCCCAATCCTGAACCACTGGCTCCTACTTCTCACCTGCTTGCCTGCCTGATCCCCCATAACCACTTTGCCTGCAGTTCTGCTCACGCCCAACTTTCCCCTCTTTCCCCCATCCTTCTTGACCCCAACTTTCCCCTCTTGCCAATCTGATTGCTCCCAACTGCCCCCCACTGCTGGCCTGCTTACCCCCAAATACCCTCCCCTCTTAGCCTGATTGTCCCTAACTGCCTCTGCCTCAGCCTTGCCACCATGGCTTTGTCCAGAAGGACATCCAGAAGGTCTCCTGGTCTAATTAGTATAATACCTTTTATTAGTATAGACTAGAGGCCTGGTATATAAAATTAATGCAGTTAGGGGGTGTTCCTCAGTCTGGCCTGCACCCTCTTGCAGTCCGGGAGACCCCTTGGGGGCCTAAGCTGTCAGTTGGACATCCTTAGCACTGCCATGGAGGCAAGAGAGGCTCTCACTAGCACCCTGTGCTCGCCAGCCGTGAGCGTGGCTTCTGGATGAGTGGCACTCCTCTGTGGCACTGAACTGACCACCAGGAGGCCAGTTGAATGTCAGCCCCATGGTGGTCAGTGTGAGTCATAGACACTAATCATTCCGCCTTTTAGTTGATTTGCAAATTACTTTTTATTATATACTAGAGGCCCGATCACAAAATTCGGGCAAGAGTAGGCTTTCGTTCTGCCAGCACCAGCTTCTCTCTGGCCGCTTGCAGGCACCTAGGACCCGGGCAGCCCCAGCTTCGTCCAGAAGGTCATCCAGAAGGACATCCAGTCTAATTGGCACATTGTGGTTTTATTATTATAGAGGACACTAGAGGCCTGGAGCACAAAATGTGTGCACAGGTAGGGTCCCTAAACCTGGCCAGCGATCAGGGCTCATCGGGGCTGCAAGCTGGGGCCTACTTTAGTTCCACACTGCCGCCTGGTTGTCAGTGTACATCATAGAAAACGAACAAGTTCCCGGTCTCCTGGTCAAATTCCCAAGGTGAATCTTTGCATATTAGCCTTTTATATGTATAGATTATACATATAAGTCCCAGTGCATGAAAATCGAGCACAGAGATGTGTGTCCCTCAGCTCAGCCTGCACCCTCTCCAATATGGGACCCCTCAAAGAATGCCTGCCTGCCCCTTTAGGCCTGATCCTGGTAGGCCTGGGTCCCCCCCCTTCCCCCGAACTGTCCTCCCTGCAGGGCCAGTCGCCC